TTTCATGGTATATTGAAATCACTGCAAAAAGTGATTCTCAAAAGTGATTCTCAAAAGTGATTCTCAAAAGTGATTTCAATATACCTGACCTCCCACTGCGCGTCTGGTTTCATGGTATATTGAAATCACTGCAAAAAGTGATTCTCAAAAGTGATTCTCAAAAGTGATTCTCAAAAGTGATTCTCAAAAGTGATTTCAATATACCTGACCTCCCACTGCGCGTCTGGTTTCATGGTATATTGAAATCACTGCAAAAAGTGATTCTCAAAAGTGATTTCAATATACCTGACCTCCCACTGCGCGTCTGGTTTCATGGTATATTGAAATCACTGCAAAAAGTGATTCTCAAAAGTGATTTCAATATACCTGACCTCCCACTGCGCGTCTGGTTTCATGGTATATTGAAATCACTGCAAAAAGTGATTCTCAAAAGTGATTTCAATATACCTGACCTCCCACTGCGCGTCTGGTTTCATGGTATATTGAAATCACTGCAAAAAGTGATTCTCAAAAGTGATTTCAATATACCTGACCTCCCACTGCGCGTCTGGTTTCATGGTATATTGAAATCACTGCAAAAAGTGATTCTCAAAAGTGATTTCAATATACCTGACCTCCCACTGCGCGTCTGGTTTCATGGTATATTGAAATCACTGCAAAAAGTGATTCTCAAAAGTGATTTCAATATACCTGACCTCCCACTGCGCGTCTGGTTTCATGGTATATTGAAATCACTGCAAAAAGTGATTCTCAAAAGTGATTCTCAAAAGTGATTCTCAAAAGTGATTTCAATATACCTGACCTCCCACTGCGCGTCTGGTTTCATGGTATATTGAAATCACTGCAAAAAGTGATTCTCAAAAGTGATTCTCAAAAGTGATTCTCAAAAGTGATTTCAATATACCTGACCTCCCACTGCGCGTCTGGTTTCATGGTATATTGAAATCACTGCAAAAAGTGATTCTCAAAAGTGATTCTCAAAAGTGATTCTCAAAAGTGATTTCAATATACCTGACCTCCCACTGCGCGTCTGGTTTCATGGTATATTGAAATCACTGCAAAAAGTGATTCTCAAAAGTGATTCTCAAAAGTGATTCTCAAAAGTGATTTCAATATACCTGACCTCCCACTGCGCGTCTGGTTTCATGGTATATTGAAATCACTGCAAAAAGTGATTCTCAAAAGTGATTCTCAAAAGTGATTCTCAAAAGTGATTTCAATATACCTGACCTCCCACTGCGCGTCTGGTTTCATGGTATATTGAAATCACTGCAAAAAGTGATTCTCAAAAGTGATTCTCAAAAGTGATTCTCAAAAGTGATTTCAATATACCTGACCTCCCACTGCGCATCTGGTTTCATGGTATATTGAAATCACTGCAAAAAGTGATTCTCAAAAGTGATTCTCAAAAGTGATTCTCAAAAGTGATTTCAATATACCTGACCTCCCACTGCGCGTCTGGTTTCATGGTATATTGAAATCACTGCAAAAAGTGATTCTCAAAAGTGATTCTCAAAAGTGATTCTCAAAAGTGATTCTCAAAAGTGATTTCAATATACCTGACCTCCCACTGCGCGTCTGGTTTCATGGTATATTGAAATCACTGCAAAAAGTGATTCTCAAAAGTGATTTCAATATACCTGACCTCCCACTGCGCGTCTGGTTTCATGGTATATTGAAATCACTGCAAAAAGTGATTCTCAAAAGTGATTTCAATATACCTGACCTCCCACTGCGCGTCTGGTTTCATGGTATATTGAAATCACTGCAAAAAGTGATTCTCAAAAGTGATTTCAATATACCTGACCTCCCACTGCGCGTCTGGTTTCATGGTATATTGAAATCACTGCAAAAAGTGATTCTCAAAAGTGATTTCAATATACCTGACCTCCCACTGCGCGTCTGGTTTCATGGTATATTGAAATCACTGCAAAAAGTGATTCTCAAAAGTGATTTCAATATACCTGACCTCCCACTGCGCGTCTGGTTTCATGGTATATTGAAATCACTGCAAAAAGTGATTCTCAAAAGTGATTTCAATATACCTGACCTCCCACTGCGCGTCTGGTTTCATGGTATATTGAAATCACTGCAAAAAGTGATTCTCAAAAGTGATTTCAATATACCTGACCTCCCACTGCGCGTCTGGTTTCATGGTATATTGAAATCACTGCAAAAAGTGATTCTCAAAAGTGATTTCAATATACCTGACCTCCCACTGCGCGTCTGGTTTCATGGTATATTGAAATCACTGCAAAAAGTGATTCTCAAAAGTGATTTCAATATACCTGACCTCCCACTGCGCGTCTGGTTTCATGGTATATTGAAATCACTGCAAAAAGTGATTCTCAAAAGTGATTTCAATATACCTGACCTCCCACTGCGCGTCTGGTTTCATGGTATATTGAAATCACTGCAAAAAGTGATTCTCAAAAGTGATTTCAATATACCTGACCTCCCACTGCGCGTCTGGTTTCATGGTATATTGAAATCACTGCAAAAAGTGATTCTCAAAAGTGATTTCAATATACCTGACCTCCCACTGCGCGTCTGGTTTCATGGTATATTGAAATCACTGCAAAAAGTGATTCTCAAAAGTGATTTCAATATACCTGACCTCCCACTGCGCGTCTGGTTTCATGGTATATTGAAATCACTGCAAAAAGTGATTCTCAAAAGTGATTTCAATATACCTGACCTCCCACTGCGCGTCTGGTTTCATGGTATATTGAAATCACTGCAAAAAGTGATTCTCAAAAGTGATTTCAATATACCTGACCTCCCACTGCGCGTCTGGTTTCATGGTATATTGAAATCACTGCAAAAAGTGATTCTCAAAAGTGATTTCAATATACCTGACCTCCCACTGCGCGTCTGGTTTCATGGTATATTGAAATCACTGCAAAAAGTGATTCTCAAAAGTGATTTCAATATACCTGACCTCCCACTGCGCGTCTGGTTTCATGGTATATTGAAATCACTGCAAAAAGTGATTCTCAAAAGTGATTTCAATATACCTGACCTCCCACTGCGCGTCTGGTTTCATGGTATATTGAAATCACTGCAAAAAGTGATTCTCAAAAGTGATTTCAATATACCTGACCTCCCACTGCGCGTCTGGTTTCATGGTATATTGAAATCACTGCAAACATCTCCATGTCGCTTCTCCTCCATGCCTCCATTGCGCCATGTCGCTCTTGCAACATCTCCTCTCCACAAGTTGATAGACTAAAAAAACGCTTTCCCGTCATTTCTAATTCTGTGTTTCCTTTCCTGTACCTCCTGTGGGCGCAGCTTTGGCATTCTGATGTTGGTGGTGCTGTCAGGGAGAGGAGCAATCATCACAGAGGCTAATCAGGGCGATGGGCCCACCCCCCAGGATGAGGACCGCGAGCCTAAGACCATTGTTAAATGGGTGCGTGGTATTTGTGCATTTCGTTCGTTCCCTCATTCGCCCAAGCGCTATCTGTGGTGGCATCACCCCCCACCTTTTTTCTTCTTCTTCCTCCTCTTTTTTCATTCTACTTGGCTCCAAATCCGAGGACAAACTGATGCCCTGCTCTTTAAATCGTCCCCTCCCACCTTTTCCTCCACCCACCTCTCTCCTCTCTCTCTTCCACACCCACCCCACACCACACCACACCCCTGCCTTTCCGCACACGTCCAATGCCATAGGCGAGCGAGCTCCTGTCAGCAGGGAAAGCATCGAGTGTCGGGGATTCGCGAATGGCAGCACCGGGGGGTATCATCACACGCCTTGCCAAGCTCGCCATCAGCTGCACTGCCATGCCCACTGCCTCCCGCCCCTCCATGTCTCGAGTGGCTCAAGACCTAGAGGCTCTGGGGGCCGAGGTGGGAGGGGGGGTTGCGAGCGCATCGGGAGCAGCCATGGTGGACGCAATGATTGCGGCCCATCAGCCTGGGAGGACCTTTGATGAGCACCTGGAGCAGCTGGAGCTGCAGTTTTCAGAGCAGAGTAAGGGGGGGACGGTGGAGTCGAGTTATGAGCGCCGCGATCTGTGAGATGGCCATGGTTTGAGCGAGCCGAGAGCCTGCCCACGTTGAGAAAGGAATCACCGAACTGTCGGCTTTAGGTGCTGGTGCAGCCGATTTCTGAGTCGACTGAAAAAACGACTTATCTCACAAGAGGAATCGCCGAACAGTTGGCTTAAGGTGCTGGTGCAGATTTCCATACTGACTCATTTAAGTTGTGTGATTGACTCGTTTGTGACAGCCTTATCCTGACTCCATACTCTCTTGATCACAGTATTTGTGGGAGCAGTGGGCCAGGAATGTACGTGGGCTGTATGTGATCAGTACATACATGAATCTAGGGGGGTTGCTTGCCTTGGCATGGCATGTCATGGCATGGCACGGCATGGCATGGCACGGCATGGCATAGCATGGATTGGCATGGCATGGCACGGCATGGCACGGCACGGCACGGCACGGCATGGCACGGCACGGCATGGCACTGCATGGCATGGCATGGCATGGCATGGCATGGCATGGCATGGCATGGCATGGCATGGCATGGCATGGCATGGCATGGCATGGGATGGCATGGCATGCACGGAGGGGATCCCTACCTCGTCGTCACCAACAAGGCAAGCTGGCCTGGCAGCCTCTATGCTGTTCGATGATAGTCTCATGCAATCACTAAAGCCATATTTTTTTTAGGCGCCTCAGAAATGAACTCTATGCTGTTCGATGATAGTCCCAGGCAATAACTCAAGCCATCACAACAACCCTACGGTCCACCAGCCAGCTACGGTACAGGTGGGATAAATCCTGGGCACGGGACGGGAAACCGCATGGTGCTTACGGTACTTAGTGTTCACCCAATCCAAGAGGGGTTTTCAATGTTATGCCTGTGGTTAGTTGAGCTTGAGGCTTCGGTCGCCACCACTGCTCTGTCAAAACCCGTACCAAACCAAACGTAGGATTGAAATGGGCTGTGTATATATGTGCTACAAATACTTCAGGGGGGTTACTGTAATTTACTCCTGCAACTCACTGATCTCGCAACTGCTGGCCTTCTTTGTTCGACTTGCGACCACAACACGAGACACATCACCACCACCGCTAGTCAATGCACCACCACCAGCCAATGGCAAACCCGAATCACCCACATTGGTACCGCCGCCACTGCAACTGCCGCCGCCCATTAGACAATCCTCTTGGCCAGGTTCAATCCTTTCTTTGCCTACACTATTCTCTCCTCCGATTACACTTGCCCTCTCACCAAGCTCCACTTGCTTATCCCCCTCCCCGCAAACACATTTTTCACCAGCACTCCCCAATCCTGAACCCAAGTTTCTAGACGCTTCAACACCCCCACTCTCCGATCCAGAAGCCAAAGTCTGGGAGGCCTTCTTACCATCCATGTTCCCCAATCCTGAACCTGGCTTCAACTCCTGACCAGCATCGCCTTCCGTAAAAGCTGTCGAAGCAGCATCGCTGGACCCTCCCTCTCTTCCGCTCTGGCCTCCCCCGCTTTTCCGCGAGGAGCTGCGCTTCCGGGAAGCTTCCGGGGCGATGTGCCAGTCGAAAGGGAGGCCGGAGGGGCGCACTCGGAAGGCCTCGGCTTCGGAGAGAAGCGAGTCGAACTGGCGGCGGCCCTTGGTGAGATAGGCGCCCCATGACAGCTGCTGATAGGCCCTGGGGGGAAAAAACGAGTAGAGGTTGTAGCATGGGAAGGAAGGAAGAGGGGAGGAAAGGATGGCGTGAAATTTAGGAAGAATGCCTGATGGCATGGGCAGGGAGAGTAGGAGAGTCAGAAGAACGAGAAGGCCCGAGAGGGGCGCACTCTGAAGGCCTCGGCTTCGGAGAGCAGCGAGTCGAACTGGCGGCGGCCCTTGGTGAGATATGCGCCCCATGACACCTGCTGGTACGCCCTGGGAGGACGGTCGAGGGGGGACAGGGAGATGAGAGGGAAAGCAGGAGATGATGTTGAGCTGCTTTGGTAGTTGAAGGGAATGTAGGGGTTCTTGGCGAGATAGGCGCCGCATGAAAGCTGCTGGTACGCCCTGCAGAAAAGGTTGGTGATGCGAGGGAGGGAAGGGACAGAGAAGCAGGGTAGTAGTTTGAATTTCTCCCATGAACTTGCGGCGGCCCTTGGTGAGATACGCTCCCCATGACAGCTGCTGGTACGCCCTGGGGAAGCACAAAAATGGGAGGAGATGATACGGAGAAGGCAGGATACCATAGGAGAAGAACAAAAGGCATGTGTTACGCTGCAAACAGAAAGTCGCACAGTAGCTGGATAGCATGGAGCAGATGACAATGTTTGAGGCGCCTCAAGAGCAGATGACAATGGCTGTGAATGCTGCTCTCATGTGCGGCTGATCTCATCTCATCTCATCTCATCTCATCTCATCTCATCTCATCTCATCTCATCTCATCTCAACGCCTGCCCCATGGCCACCTGCTACACCCAGGTGCACACTTTATGGGGCCCTCCAGCACTCACCATACCACCATCGAGCAGATGACAATGGCGGTGAACACGACAGGGATGAAGGTCGAGAAGTTGAACTTGATCCACCTGGAAGCAAGGGGGAAGAGGAGGACGAGCCGGGGAGTTGGAGAGAGGAGCAAATTGGTGGAAGAAGTTGGGGCGAAGGGGGAGAGGGAGGAGATCTAGGGAACAGAGAGCAGTCTTGGGTTCACAAATCAAGTGAGCCCGCTGAATGGTACTCTCAAAAGTGACCCAAATGTAGGGAACAGAAGAAGGTAACCTTTATCCAGCCACGGGGGGCCTGGTTTCGAATGGGGGATCATAAACAGTTTGACTTCTACGTGGACTCAAGATCTTTGAAAGTTCTAACTCAAGTTGACTCCCAACTGGACTCAACGATGGTGTTGCACATAGGTAGCTAGGGACAAGGATAAGCCCACCTGTAAGCTCAACCGTTCTACACCGCATTAGACTGGCATACCCAATGCACTTGTATCAGCTGCTATTGCACTTCCCAGTTGTATGTCAAAATATTCTCAACTTCACCATCTCAATTTGCTTGAAGAATTTGAGCAGCTTCAGGAGGATAGCGAAAACTTGGATTCAGAAGATGGTGCCCGCGAGTTAGAATATAGATCACTTCGTCACAGTGCTGCTGGTTTTTCTTCCTCGCTCTTTCAATGACCTTGTATTGCATTCTACTTCGATTTGTGAAGTGTGTTTTAGACTAGCTAAAACGACTCTGGAACGTGCAAGGGGATCGGTGTCAATACAATCGTCTAGACGGCAAAAGGGCGAGAAAACAACGAAATCGGGACCCTTTTTACAAAACGAAATAATTATAGAGGAACACTTTGTGAGTGTGGAACTGTTGAAGGGATGTAGCAACACTCCAATATTCGTTTTCGAATTGCCTCTTGAAGTTGCTACATGACTGTTTCGGCTTGTGAAGAGGATTCAAATTTCGGTGCTTTGTCGGTTGCAAACGACCACAGTGGACATTGATTCTCATGCAGGTTCCAGATTCGTTAAAGATGTCTGAAAGAAACATTACAAGTGGAAAAAGCAAGCAATACAAGTTCATCGAGAGAGCAGAAATCAGCAACCGGCAACATTGTGAAGAAGTGATATTTATTCTGACTTGCGAATGCCATCGCTTGCGAGTGCTATCCTCTTCAAGCTCCTCAAATTCTCCAAGACGATTGGGGTGGTGAAGTTGTGAATTTGTGACATATGATTGGGAGTGCAAGAGTAACTGATACAAGTGCAATGCTAATCTGCATTGCGTAGTCTATATTGGATCATCTGTTCCTTATTCTCTGTTTGCTGTACTGTTCATTATACTCGATGATAAGGACCGTTCGACTGACATGCCCTGTGAGCACAAAAGTTAGTTTCGAAGTGCGGTAAAGCAGCCTAGGAAGATATGAGATTCTTATTTCCGCACCTTTAAATCAATTGCAAGAGCTTACCCAATAGGAATGAGGCTGAGAAGGAACGAAAAGATTCCTGTCAGATGGGGTGGAGGGGAGGGAATTAATTGGAAAAAATGAATGTGAAGTGGCGGCATTAAGTGAAAAAACACTATGTGGAAGGCGTCGCAATGGTCAGGATGTGGGCATTCATCCGTCAAAGCCGGTCAACACTTGTCAAAGCTGGTCAAGGCTCGTCAAAGTCGGTCAACGTAAGTTAAAGTTGGTTGACGGTGGTCAAAGGCATTCGATGCCAGTCTCATAAAAAGATAAATGCTCATAACTAGGAAACATACGAGAAAGGTGTGGTGTTGCTGTGATGAGAATTAGCCACCTTCCGGCTTGAATGTGAACTAAAACACAGCCGTACGTACGTACCCCATGTGAAGTAGCTGAATGCCTTGCGCCAGTCATCTTCACAACACCTTGTAGGGTGAAAGGGAGAGATACCCACTCAAGCATACCCTATAGGGACCGTGAGGGCAGACATACCCCATGTGAAGTAGCTGAATGCCTTGCGCCAGTCATCTTCACACCTTAATGGGTTTGACACATGTGTATGCCACGCCATGCCATCCCATCCCGTGCCATCCCACACCATGCCCATATCATGCCACAGATTGCCGCACCATGCCAGATTGAAAGAATGAATCAGAAACCAGACCAAACGAAAAAAAAAAAGTAATTTCTTAGACACACTCTGATGACGTAACATTGTGCAAGTACTAGTGACGTGCAAAATTGACCGTGCCTGTGACAAGCACATACCCACCTGTCCACCACCAACCCACCAGCCTCACCTGTACTCCCAAAAAGCTTCAAACGTGCGTCGGGGCGCGGGAGGGCGGTCCCCCAGCGAGAAGCAGCGCACGAAGAGCAGGCAGTGCAACATGAACTCCTCCCCCAGGTGCCACCTGTGTAGCACCACACCCTCCCCACTGACGAAATACCCGGTCGCCTCACCTATTTAGCAGCACCCACCAGATTCACCAGTGCAACACCCCACCAGCCTCACCTGTACTCCCAGAAAGCCTCAAACGTGCGCCGGGGGGCAGGTGGGAGGTCCCCTAGGGAGAAGGAGCGCACAAAGAGCAGGCAGCGGAACATGAACTCCTCCCCCAGGTACCACCTGTGCATCTAGCATCCCCCCCCACCAGCCTCACCTGTACTCCCAAAAAGCCTCAAAAGTGCGTCGCGGCACGGGAGGGCGGTCCCATAGGGAGAAAGAGCGCACGAAGAGCAGGCAGCGGAACATGAACTGCTCCTTTGGCTCCTCCAGGATCCACGTATGCAACATCCATTTCCACACCCTCACCTGTACTCCCAAAAAGCCTTAAATGTGCGTCGGGGAGCAGGTGGGCGGCCCCCAAGGGAGAATGAACGCACGAAGAGCAGGCAGCAGAACATAAACTGGTCCTCGGCCTCCAGTTACCACTCATGCAACGTCCCTCCCCTCCCCCCCGCCTCACTTACTCACCTGTACTCCCAAAAGGCTTCAAACGTGCGCCGCGGCGCAGGCGGGCGGTCCCCGAGCGAGAAAGAGCGCACAAAGAGCAAGCAGCGGAACATGAAGTGCTCCTCGGCCTCCTCGTCCACGTAGGCCTTGCCATTCTTCAGAATGCTCCCCATGATCAGTGTGCACTGCACCATGGCGACTGTGTGCAGGCAGACCTGGTAAGAACCGGAGGAAGAGGGAAGAACACACAGCAGGCAGGCAGGGAGGCGGGCAGGCAGGGAGGCAGGCAGGGAGGCAAGCAGGCAGGGAGGCAGGCAGGCAAGCAAGCAGGAGGCAGGCACGGGGAGAGCAGGGTAAGAGCAAGCAGCGGAACATGAAGTGGTCCTCGGCCTCCTCGTCCACATAGGCCTTGCCATTCTTCAAGATGCTCCCCATGATGAGTGTGCACTGCACCATGTCGACGGTGTGCAGGCAGACCTGAAGTGGGAGTAGGGAGAAGGGAGTAGAGAAGCAGGCATGCAGCAGGCAGTAGAGTGTCGGTGCACCCCTTGCCCTCACTCCACTGCCCATGATGAGTGTGCACTGCACCATGGCCACCGTGTGCAGGCAGACCTGGTACGAGCAGGGCAGGAGACAGCGGGCATGGAGCACAGAAGCAGGCAGGCAGCAGGCAGTAGTGTATCAGTGCACCCTTCACCCTCCCTCCACTGCCCATGATGAGTGTGCACTGCACCATGGCCACCGTGTGCAGGCAGACCTGGTGGGAGAAGGGAGAGAGAGGAAAGGAAGACAGCAGGCAAGCAGGGACAACTTTTGAGACGTCTCAAAAGGAGAGACAACTTTTGAGACGTCTCAAAAGGAGAGACAACTTTTGAGACGTCTCAAAAGGAGAGACAACTTTTGAGACGTCTCAAAAGGAGAGACAACTTTTGAGACGTCTCAAAAGGAGAGACAACTTTTGAGACGTCTCAAAAGGAGAGACAACTTTTGAGACGTCTCAAAAGGAGAGACAACTTTTGAGACGTCTCAAAAGGAGAGACAACTTTTGAGACGTCTCAAAAGGAGAGACAACTTTTGAGACGTCTCAAAAGGAGAGACAACTTTTGAGACGTCTCAAAAGGAGAGACAACTTTTGAGACGTCTCAAAAGGAGAGACAACTTTTGAGACGTCTCAAAAGGAGAGACAACTTTTGAGACGTCTCAAAAGGAGAGACAACTTTTGAGACGTCTCAAAAGGAGAGACAACTTTTGAGACGTCTCAAAAGGAGAGACAACTTTTGAGACGTCTCAAAAGGAGAGACAACTTTTGAGACGTCTCAAAAGGAGAGACAACTTTTGAGACGTCTCAAAAGGAGAGACAACTTTTGAGACGTCTCAAAAGGAGAGACAACTTTTGAGACGTCTCAAAAGGAGAGACAACTTTTGAGACGTCTCAAAAGGAGAGACAACTTTTGAGACGTCTCAAAAGGAGAGACAACTTTTGAGACGTCTCAAAAGGAGAGACAACTTTTGAGACGTCTCAAAAGGAGAGACAACTTTTGAGACGTCTCAAAAGGAGAGACAACTTTCGAGACGTCTCAAAAGGAGAGACAACTTTCGAGACGTCTCAAAAGGAGAGACAACTTTCGAGACGTCTCAAAAGGAGAGACAACTTTTGAGACGTCTCAAAAGGAGAGACAACTTTTGAGACGTCTCAAAAGGAGAGACAACTTTTGAGACGTCTCAAAAGGAGAGACAACTTTTGAGACGTCTCAAAAGGAGAGACAACTTTTGAGACGTCTCAAAAGGAGAGACAACTTTTGAGACGTCTCAAAAGGAGAGACAACTTTTGAGACGTCTCAAAAGGAGAGACAACTTTTGAGACGTCTCAAAAGGAGAGACAACTTTTGAGACGTCTCAAAAGGAGAGACAACTTTTGAGACGTCTCAAAAGGAGAGACAACTTTTGAGACGTCTCAAAAGGAGAGACAACTTTCGAGACGTCTCAAAAGGAGAGACAACTTTCGAGACGTCTCAAAAGGAGAGACAACTTTCGAGACGTCTCAAAAGGAGAGACAACTTTCGAGACGTCTCAAAAGGAGAGACAACTTTCGAGACGTCTCAAAAGGAGAGACAACTTTCGAGACGTCTCAAAAGGAGAGACAACTTTCGAGACGTCTCAAAAGGAGAGACAACTTTCGAGACGTCTCAAAAGGAGAGACAACTTTCGAGACGTCTCAAAAGGAGAGACAACTTTCGAGACGTCTCAAAAGGAGAGACAACTTTCGAGACGTCTCAAAAGGAGAGACAACTTTCGAGACGTCTCAAAAGGAGAGACAACTTTTGAGACGTCTCAAAAGGAGAGACAACTTTTGAGACGTCTCAAAAGGAGAGACAACTTTTGAGACGTCTCAAAAGGAGAGACAACTTTTGAGACGTCTCAAAAGGAGAGACAACTTTTGAGACGTCTCAAAAGGAGAGACAACTTTTGAGACGTCTCAAAAGGAGAGACAACTTTCGAGCCGTCTCAAAAGGAGAGACAACTTTTGAGACGTCTCAAAAGGAGAGACAACTTTTGAGACGTCTCAAAAGGAGAGACAACTTTTGAGACGTCTCAAAAGGAGAGACAACTTTTGAGACGTCTCAAAAGGAGAGACAACTTTTGAGACGTCTCAAAAGGAGAGACAACTTTCGAGACGTCTCAAAAGGAGAGACAACTTTTGAGACGTCTCAAAAGGAGAGACAACTTTTGAGACGTCTCAAAAGGAGAGACAACTTTCGAGACGTCTCAAAAGGAGAGACAACTTTCGAGACGTCTCAAAAGGAGAGACAACTTTCGAGACGTCTCAAAAGGAGAGACAACTTTTGAGACGTCTCAAAAGGAGAGACAACTTTTGAGACGTCTCAAAAGGAGAGACAACTTTTGAGACGTCTCAAAAGGAGAGACAACTTTTGAGACGTCTCAAAAGGAGAGACAACTTTTGAGACGTCTCAAAAGGAGAGACAACTTTTGAGACGTCTCAAAAGGAGAGACAACTTTTGAGACGTCTCAAAAGGAGAGACAACTTTTGAGACGTCTCAAAAGGAGAGACAACTTTTGAGACGTCTCAAAAGGAGAGACAACTTTTGAGACGTCTCAAAAGGAGAGACAACTTTTGAGACGTCTCAAAAGGAGAGACAACTTTTGAGACGTCTCAAAAGGAGAGACACCGGAAAGAGATCACCTTTATGGATCAACCGGAAGGCTTTCAAAGAGAGTTTCCTTCCAACACAGCTTGGAAGCCGAATCGTCCAGTACACAGCTTCAAGTAAACTCCACGTGAATGACACAACAAGGTGAAGCTATCCTCCTTTCATTAACCTTCCACCCATCTTCCCCCAATCCAAGTCTTTTCATTCGCCGTCAATCCGACTCGTTCTACATCCTTGTCCATGTTGACGATTTCATTCTCGTCTCTAACGTCCATCTCTGAGCAGGGCCCTCTTGATGAAGAACTTTGGTGACCGTAAGCATTACTCGGGGATGGAGATTAATCATGCTCGTCAGGCTCGTATCATCACGCTCTCCCAAAACTTATACGTCGAAAAAAGCGCTTTAACATAGGCTCTTGCACGCCCATTTCTCCTCAACTGTCGCTGCAGCACATTCTTATCGCTCCCGCTATACCCACACCCGCGGCATGCTCCGAGCCTTACCAGGAGCTAGTCGGGTCCCTCATGTACGCATGATGTGTACTCGACCTGACCTGGCACATCCCGTCGGTGTCCTCTTTCTTTATGTGGCTCTTAGGCGCTTTATTTCTCTCCGGCGGCGAAGCGAGTTATTGCTATCTGCAAGCCACCAAGTCTCATGTCCTCACACCTGGTGATCTTGCTCCCCCTCACAGTGAATCCTTCTGGGTCAACGACCAGAAGACTGACGCTTCTCTTTGAGCTACTGCTTCACCATTGGTAGTGGAGTCATTTGGTGGTGCTCCACCACGTCGTTTGCTGTCTCCCTCTCCTGTGTGAACCAGAACTGTATGCCGGGACCCGGCAGACTAAGAGCACTTTTGAGGCACCTCAAAAGTCGTCAAAAGTTTTGAGGCGCCTCAAAAGTCGATTGGTAGTGGAGTCATGTGGTGGTGCTCCACGACGTCCTTCGCAGTCTCCCTCTCCTGTGTGAACCAGAACCGTATGCCGGGGCCACGACAGACCAAGAGGCTCGTTGGATCTCCTCTCTGCTCCAGGAGCTTGGCTACCCTTCGTGCACACCCACTCTCGTGTGACAACCAGAGTACCATCTATCTCTCGTGTATGAAGAAGTGTTTTGAGATGTCTCAAAACAAGAGGCTCGTTGGCTCTCCTCTCTGCTCCAGGACCTTGGCTACCTTTCGTCCACACCCACTCTCTGGTGTGACAACCAGAGTACCATCCATCCACCTCTCCCAGGATCCCGTGTTCCACACCCACACCAAATACATCGAGCTTCGCCACTTTTTTCAGTCGTAACCTTGATTCGCGATCAGTTGAAGGTGCAGTATAGTGCATCGCTTCTGGCAGAAATCCAGCTGAATGTTCACCAGCCCCCCTAGATGGGTTGCTCACCATCGTCTTCTCAGCTCTATGGGGCTTTGTGCCCCATCTTCTCTACTTGAGTTTGATTGACGTATAGTGAGGGTGTGTTTAATTTATGCTTCAATCTCAACCTTTGTATTCTGTACTTTTATACCCGACTTAGTGTAGTTATACATTTTGCAGGTTGGGTGTTACACCAACATCCCAACCTTACCCAAACGTGTTCAACCGAACCTCCAAAATTCACCAATTGGAGATTCAGCCGAGCTCATAGGGGATTGCACCCAATTCCCTACTCATTCTTTCTTGCTCATTTCCTATGTGCTTAAAAGTCTTGTACTCTACCTAAACCCTACACCCTGGCCTAAATTCTTACAGATTAGAGTATGGACTGGATTGGGTTCACACTGATGAATTGCACTGGACTGGACAAGACTGGAGTGGAATTATGGCCAATACTGTGTGTGTGCTTGCTTGGTGTGAGTGGTCTAGTTTTAAGGCGCCTCAAAACTGGATTGGGTTCGGACTGAATTGCACTGGACTGGACAAGCCTGGACTGGACTTATGGCCAATACTGTGAGTGTGCTTGCTTGGTGTGAGTGGTGAGTGGAAGTAGACTCACCGAGATGGCAGTGAGGATGCCGTACAGAGCAATGTTCCACTGTTAAGGGTGGGAGGTGCAGAGGGGGAAGAGAGGGATAAGGAGGGGTGACAGGAACAAGGGACACAGCAGAGCATAGCAATTCGAGTCTTGACAGTCGAGAGATGTTTTATGTAGTGTGGGTTACAACTGGGTGAGTGTGTGACAGCAAGTGTGGGAGGGGGGGGAAAGGGGGGGGGGGGGGGGGGGGGGGGGGGTGGACACTGGGGCAATAGCAGCAGCTGCAGCAGCCACAGCACATAGGCACAGTAGCAGCAGCTGGTTTTTGAGAATTCTCAAGAACCAGCAGCCAAAGCACATAGGCACAGTAGCAGCAGCTCATGTTTTGAGATGACTCAAATCTCGCCACCTTAAAACACTCAGCAGTAGCCAGACACCGGAGGGAAAGTGTCTGGCATATTTTGGAAGGAACACAGTGAGTGTTAGTGTGTTTATTACAAGAGGAGGTGACTGTATCGAAGGAAGAAAGACTCACCATGGGAGAGCCTTCGAGGGTGACTTGGAATTGCGTGAGTGTGACAACAGCGAAGCCAGCAAACAGCGCTGCGAGGTTCGAGATCGCCTTAAGCTGCTCTGACTTCTCCTCCACATCTCGCCGGTTCTTCTCGACAAATCTGCCAAGCGAGGGGAGGGTGGAGGGACAATATGGGGGTTGGAAGGATGGGAGGGTTTGAGATCACCTTGAGCTGCTCCGACTTCTCCATGCCTTGCCGGTTCTTCTCCACAAACCTGACAACAAGTTGTTGATGAAAATACATCTAACGAGTATCTGGGTTCAGCGACACGCACTTTCTGATGCAGTACCCCGCACTGAATACCTGACTGACTGAATACCTAACTGACCGAATACCTGACTGAATATCTGACTGACTTAATACCTGCCTGAATGCCAGACTGAATACCTGCCTGAATACCTGACTGAATACCTGACTGAATACCTGACTGAATACCTGACTGAATACCTGACTGACTCTGCATATGACGTTTGCCACTATCTGTAAATCAAGCTCGCACAACCCGAACACATCTGCCTCTCACCCCTCACCGAAGCTGTACTTTACTGGTTACATTTAACTTAATGTGGTTTATTTCCAGATTACTCCAGCTCTACACCTGAGATTGCACCTGATGCTGCACGTTGTACCTGGCCCAGAGGTATCTTGCATTGTCCACGTGGCGTTGGTTCATGTCTTCCTCCCTCCACCTGATGTCAGCAGCAATGCACAGCGTACAGTGCACAGCGTACAGAGCACAGAGCACAGAGCAGAGTGTACAGTGTACAGAGCACAGTGTACAGTGCGCAACACCCATAGCACAGTATACACGCGGTAGCATGTATGAACAACATACAATATCTAATTATCATATCAATGATCAAAGGCATGAATGCACCAAAAGGCAAACAGGTACTGCAGATGAGACATGCAGGGACGTTGCGTGCGTGAGTGAGTGAGCGAGCTAGCGAGCGAGCAAGTGAGTGAGTGAGAGATTCTGTGAGTGAGTGAGAGTGAGTGTTTCTGAGGCGCCTAACAAGTTCACTTGGATTTGATCCATTTCCCTTTCTCCCCGCCGCTCTCTTGCTCATCCTCAAAGCCCCCCCGCTCACTTCTCCTTGCCCATCCCCCACCCTCTCACCTCCCTCTCCCCCCGTCTCTCCCCTCTTCCCCCCTCCCCTCCCCCCTTCCCCCCCCTTCCCCTCTTCCCTCCCCTCCACCACCCCCCCACTCCCTTTCTCCCACCTGATTTCCGCGCTCCGCATTTCCGCCTCTTCTCCGAACCATCGGCGCTCCTCCTCGCGGAACGCCAGGTCGTCCGCGCGCCACTGGCGGTCCTCCGCACGCCAGCGGCGGTCCTCGTCGCGCCACTGCCGCGACAGCGACGTGTCGAATGCCGCCAACACCGCCTGCGCCGCCTCCATCGTGCTCGCCATCGGTACCCGGCGCGCTTAGCTACGTACTGCCTCGAAGTCACGACCCAGCACGCTTAAATCCACTGCCCACTACGTTCAGTCAAGTGTGGGTTTTATGTATAAGAGTACCGGAATAACTCTTCTGGAGTCATAGTCGTGTCCTTCTGACCCTATTACAGAACCACAAGGACGCGTCTGGGACTCCAGGGCCCTTGCGGATGGTTAATATTGTAATATTGTATTAATATCGACAACAGCGGCGTCAGAGGCGCAGTTTTCTAGGAAAGCGTTCTCTGGCAAGTCTCCCACGCGCAGAAAGAATCCTCACATCAATGCAACCCTGCTGTTCGCAGCGCGGAGTTGAATCCGACCGTTATGAACCTGTTTTGTTATAAGCGCGCAAAATTCACTAGTGAGCTGAAATACACTGCATCGCTACATGATACTTGTACTGAAGAATGAATAACGAGGAAAAAATATGCAGAGTCGAGCTAGCCGAGGACCTCGAGGTGACGAGGTTCGGATGGGTGGCGAAAGGTGCGGAGGCGACACGGATGTGGTTCGGGAAAGAATGTAGGCCGAACCAGCTGACACGTGAACCTCAGAATGTACCCGTTTAACAGATGTCTACAATGAGGACTCCTTACCTGTATCATGAAGTTTATAACAAAAAAATATACAGATTTCATTGCTCCAATTGGTACAAATACTGTAGAGTGCTGTGCTTGCAACAAGTTGAAAAAATCATTGGTTTGGCTATATAACCTCATCTACCATGTACCGATCGCACTACTTTGCAGTGTAGACAGGATGCCCTACCCATTTTCCCATTGCACTCTGTTTCCACACCGTTACTACACCATCTGCCCCCACCATCGCCAGGCTAGAACCTAGTAGGTCCCAGGAAACTTGATGCACCTGTTGGGATAGACACGGGTTGGTTCACAAATGATAACAACACAGATATGGTAATTTTAACTATGTTGGGCTGAGATGACTGCTTCAACAAACTAGGAACGGTAGGTCAAAGATCAGGTAGCTGCGGGGTTTGAAAAGACCATGCATATTGAACACTGCAGCCAACATGCCAAATGAGCACACATCACAACATAATGAAATAATGATGCAACATAATGAGATAATGATGCAACACAATGATGACAGCTTTACAGTTGACTGTCACTGAAATGTTACAGCATCGCAGATCGTCCCACTAGTCGGTGGTAGAAGGAAATAAACAAGGTACGGCTGGGATTAACTGCCTCATTGATACCTTTTTAAAACACTGAGCTGAGAATATGGCTCCGATCTTGCCTGGGAGGCTCGGTAAGCATGGAAGGTGGATTGACGTACCTGCGCAGAACTGGTGGAGGACAGCCGAGCCACCTGCCGAACCTGAACTGCAGCCTTGGAAGGCTTTGAATGGTAACGCCCTGCCTCGGCACCATCCCCCATACCCATGGCATCATGAGCTTCATCAGGCTCGGTAAACTGCTGCGCCGAGCCAGGCTGGTTCGGATAGTCTATCCGAACCAGATTCACGGAGGAAGAAGTAGCCAAGGCAACAACGTCGAAGGGCCTGGTTGATTTTGGAAGTTGAGGTTGGGGGAAAGGAAAGAAGAGGGAGCGGAGCGGGGTGGGGGAAGGGGGGAAGATTGAGGGAGGCTGAGGGAGAATGAGGGCGAGGAAGAATGGTAAGAACTATCGTCACACTCTGATAAATTCTGATGAGCATAATGGAAAGGTTTGACAGCAGATGAGTCAAGCTTTTTAGGCGCCTACACAGAATAAGAATGGGATAGCAACTGAGCTGTGATAAAACAAGGATAGCTGAGCTTGCGGCCATTTGCTCTCAAACAACTGAGCTTTGAGAGAAAATGGCCTCATTGCTGGAAAGGTGGTTGGAGGAGGGAGCACAGAAGCAACACAAGTGGCGTGGCGAGGCATGGCAATGTGTAGGGTGGGGTGGGAGCCGGTCCAGAACGATGGGAGGTGAAGGGAGAAAGAACGAGACTTGAGGACAGATGAGTAAGGATAGTGACGAGGTGTCTGGGTGCGGGCACTCTTGGGACTTCAGTGCACCAGAACACACTGTATACATGCATGCACCGCACTGAACTGCACTGCACTGCACTGCACTGCACTGGGGGCGAGGTTAGTCATACCTGTCTAGAGTGGGCGCCCAAGCGATGCTCGTGACAGGTGGTGGCTGCTGATTGGCTGCTGTGGTAGCGGAAGAGGCAGGGAGGAGATCTGCAATGGCATGCCAGTGCATGTAGCGATCACTGCGCACCCACACCTGTGTGCATTAATCATAAATGGATGCATAAATGGGTGGAGTAAAGGAAGTTAGATGTAGCACGTGATGAGATGCGAGAAGAGAGGAAGTGAGGAGAGTAAGAGTGGGGGTGAGAGGGATGAGGGGAAGCGAAGGTGTGAAACGGAGTGCAAGGGAGTAAGGGATTTCAGACAGCAAAGTTACAGGAACGGGATACAAGATAACACCTTCTGAGGCGCTTCGAAGCCACCGACGTAATGCCTCAGAAAGGGCTTATGAGGAGCAATCACAGAAAGCTCACCTTCGCAGTGTTGCTGTCACCCTTGCTGCTGCCTGCTGCTGCATGTATGAAGAAGTGTTTTGAGACGTCTCAAAACACTTCTTCATACACGACGTGATGCCAAGGTCAAAGGGCTTATGAGGAGCAATCACAGAAAACCCACCTTTGCAGTGTTGCTGTCACTCTTGCTGCTGCCTGCTGCTGCACACGTGGCAATAGCCACAGCGGGTGGCTGGCCGAATGCACGCGTGGACGGATGGACGGCTATGATCGCGCGCGACAGCAGCTCCTTGCCCATGCTGACATCAGCGTATGGAAACAGTGCCACGTCAGCCTGCATAGGTTCGGACGAACACATGACCAGAATGGATATTCTCCACGCGTGTTTTGATTCTCCTCAGCAGCCGGGCTTTGTTTCGATACTGAGGAAAGTTGAGAAGAGAGAAACAGAAACAGAAACTCCTTGAGAGGCATGTGAATGGAAGGTGCAAAGATTAGGCTTGGTGGAAATGCAAACTGGAGTGGAGGCCTTTTGAGAATTCTAAAAAGTAGATTCGGTGAGGATCCAGGGTTGGATGGAAGGCACGTTTTGAGGCGTCTCATAACTTGATGGAAGGCAGGCACGCATCTAGAAATGCAAGGGCGGAAGAGCTGACTGTTGAGTCGACTCAAAAGTCACCTCGTTACAAATGCACACGTAACTTGATGGAAGGCACGTTTTGAAGCGACTCATAACTTGATGGAAGGCACGCATCTAGAAATGCAAGGATGGAAGAGCTGAGGATGAGTGGGAGTGAAAGAGACAGGGAGAGGATTGTGGAAAGGAAAGGACGGCCCAGGGAGAAGTGGGGCGAGAGGAGTGAAAGAGGAGGGAGAGAGGAGAGAGGAAGGAGAGAGGGGAGGAGGAAGGGGACAGGGAAAGGGAGGAGGGGAGATGGAGGGAGGTACCTCCAGAGACCATTGAGAGAGGGCGAGGCAGTCATTGCAGCGATGCACCACCATCCTCCCCTCCGATGTCACAGCCACCTGCCATTGGTTGTTGCACAGACACGAGTGACCAAGCATATGCACACGCACATTCACCGAAAACACACACACACACACACACACACACACACGCACATGAGAGACTTGAGGGACAAGTGAGTGGCAGTGGTTGCAGCGATGCACCACCATTCGCCCCTCCGATGTCGCTGCCACCTGCCAGTGGTTGTTGCGGTGCGGTGCACACACGAGAGAGCAAAGTAGCTTCTGAGTCGCCTCAAAAGTGCAACGACGCACCGCCATTCACCCCTCTGCTGCTGCTGCTGCTGCTGCTGCTGCATCTGCAGGAGCACGCAGCAGTGGCGGATTACTTTTGACACATCTCAAAAGTCGCAGCAGTGGCACATGGCAACTACAAAGTCACTCGCGTACAAGTCACTGCCACTTGAGTCATAACACCAAGTGCAGTCAGTCTCACCAGCAGCAGCGGGTCAGTGAATGTGCTCCGCACAAACGCCAGAGCCAACACAGCAGCAGCAGATGACGACGCAGCACCAGCAGCACCAGTAGAGACTGCAGCAGCAGCAGCAGCAGCAGCAGCTCCATTCAGTGCATTCAGCAGCATGTTCCCCACATCCACCACTGCCACCTGCCTCCACCGATCACCACCACTCCCAGTCTTGCTGTAACCACCAGCACCACCCTCAACCCCTCCGCCTGCTCCTGATTGGACAGCTGCATCCCCTCGTCCCCTTCCACCCCCTCCTCCTCCCATTTCAGTATCACCATGCCCACCTTCTCTAGTCCTCATCTCCCCATTTGGCTCTTCCCTGCCGGCCCGACTCCCCCCATTCCCCCCACCCCCCCCCGTCTTCCCCCATGGCCCTGTTCCGCCCATCCTCCCTGTCCCCCGTGCCCCCAACCTCCCCCCAGATGTGCACGCTGCTGCTCCCCCTGCACGCCACAGCCAGCTTTCCCCCAAACTCCTGTGGCGCCCACACCACGTGCGCTGCTGCTGCTGCTGCTGCTGCTGCTGCTGCTGCTGGGGCAAGTGGGGAAGGGTGAAAAGGGAAAAGGCGGGGAGAGGGCATTGATTCCAAGCTGCTGCAGGGCCCACAGAAGGTGCATTCCCCCTGCACGTCACAGCCACCTTTCCCCCAAACTCCTGTGGTGCCCACACCACGTGCGCTGCTGCTAATGGGGCAAGCGGGGGAGGGCGGACAGGTTAAAGGGCATTGTTTGCAAACTGCTTCAGGGCCCACCCCACACCACGTGCACCCTCCCCCTGCACGCAGCACGCCACGCCACAGCCACCTGTCCCCTGAACTCCTGTGGCGCCCACACGACGTGCGCTGCTGCTGCGGTGGGCAAGCGGGGGAGGGCGGACAGGTTAAAGGGCATTGTTTGCAAACTGCTTCAGGGCCCACCCCACACCACGTGCGCTCCCTCTGCACGCCACAGCCAGCTTTCCCCCAAACTCCTGTGGGACCCACACCACGTGCGCTGCTGCTGCTGCTGCTGCTGCTGCTGCTGCTGCTGCTGCTGCTGCTGCTGCTGCTGCTGCTGCTGGGGGGAAGCGGGAGAGCGGGAGACGAGGGGAAGGGGAGGGGAGGGGAGGGGGAATCACTGGCTGGCACTGCTTGCGAATTTCCCTTCACCCCCTTCCCCTCGGTTCATTCGTTCCGCCTCCTCTCTCCCCCCTTCCCCCCTGCCCTCCCCCATTCCTCCCCCATCCCACCTCCTCCCCCATCCCCCTACCCCCCAACGCCCCCCCAACGGCCAGCTGCAGAGAACCTTGGCGGGAGAATGCGCGGGAGCTGTCAGAAGCAGACAGGTGGGCTGTGAAGGCCTTATTTCCATCCACTCTTGCTGTATTAGGACAACGAGACAGCTGCGGAGAAACTCGGCGGGAGAATGCGCGGGCGATGCTGCTTGAACAAATTGTCCCCTGCTTTTGAGAAATCTCGAGATCAAATCCTGCAAGATAAATTTCCATCGATCCTCACCTGTTTTCTCCCTTCGGCCTCTTTCCCGCAACGACCAGCTCGCGGAAAGGCTCAGCGGTCTCTTCTCCAGTCTCCCTCCTTTCTCCCCCTCTTCATCCGCCTTCCCCCATCCCTCCCCAGCCCCCCATCCCTCCCTCCCCTCACTTCCTGAATCCGAACTATCCTTACCAGTTTTATTCCCTCCGCCGCTTCCCCCGAGCGGCCAGCTCGCGGAAAGGCTCAGCGGCCCGCGCTCTCCGCCGTCGTCGCAGCGCTCCCAGATCTGCAGCGCGCCGTCCGCCGTGCCGGCCGCCCATCGCGTTCGCGATCCGTTCCACGCGCTCGCGGTCGCCTCGCTGCCCGTACCCCGAACCAGCTGCCGAACCTGCATGTCAGGCACGGTTCGATCGTTGAAGATATGAACGGTCACGAAACGACTCGCTGTAAAGCCTGCGTGCGTTGTCAGACGAAAATGGTCCGCTATAATAATCTTCGTCATTACGTTCGGCAACATGTCGTCATAAGCTTGTTCACATGAGGATCCATGTCTGTCCCGAAACGATTCGCGAATAGCGTGCGAAATTCGTCCAACTTGTTGATCTTACCTGAGGCATTATTTGACGCGACTCCAATGCCTGCAGGATGAGAATGACTAGCCGATGATGTGGTGGTCTTCCTGAGAAGAGGAAAGCACTTTTGACAGGTAATAAGGCGCGGTCTGGAATAGGCCAACACCTTCGTCCTCTGAAAATACTCTGAATGGGAAATAAGTGTCCATCTTTGTTCGGTAAAGAACGGTTCTGGAGTTACCAAATAATAAACATGAATCAAAACGGTTGGGTATGTTTTTTGGGGATGATAAGTTTCTAACACGCTCTGGTCGTGGGGTCTTCTGAATCCGTCGATTCATTTGCAAGACGGGGGTTTGTTGCCTTGTTTCAATTTGGAATTCTTTTTGGGCAACGTTCTAATAGGAGCACTCCACACACCACAAATGCTGGGCACATTAGTGGACATGCAGTGTGAGATGAGATGGATGAGCGGTGTGAGTGGGTCACGGAATGCTGTTTGTCACACTACCATACTCAACCGCTCCGTACTGTTCGTAGTCAGTTTAGAAAACCTCGCTCAAAGTTAGTCAAGAGCGGCCGCCTTCGCTCGATACAAGTGCGCACTGTAACGAAGTGTTTACGTACAGTGACGGAACATGTGAAATAATGAAACAAACCATTTCCCCTTGACCCACCTGGCCCATGGAGTGGAGATACGCAACAAGGCGACTAGCTTGTCAAGCTATCTCCGATCGACGATCACGATTTACGTCCCGAAAATCGACGATGCACACGAGTCTCCTTGCCACAGTTGCTGTTGATGATTTTGGCGGGCAAATACAGTTTTGTTTATGCACGTAATTAAGGGAAATTATACAGGCGGTCACAATTTTGCCCGTTTTATCACAAATGATCACAGGGGTATCACGAACAGTCACAGTACAATAGATTTCTATCGCGGGTGATCACAGTGTCAACAGAATGAACGAGAATGAATGATTGAGAAAGCTTGCTTTCTGTTCTTGCAAAGGCATCGTGCTTCATTACAATTGCAGTAATTACAACATTCTCGTCCAAATAGACTATACAAGTTGCGTATACGACTAGGGAGGGTGGGTGGGGAGTGGAACTGCAAGTTCCAAATGAAGACGTGGGTGGAGGCCAAATGGCCTCCAACCCTCGTTATGTACTCGGCGAATTGTAATTCGCCGTTGCCTTGCTGCGATACAGACAGCTGCGCTTTCACAATACGCATTTTTAGAAAGTGATACACACTTTCAAAAAATTTCATAACTGTGAAAGAGTTGGGTACAAGTACTAACCCTAATTGGGTTGTACCCCTTATGGGCTACCCCACTATAGCCTACACAAATGTAAGCACTATAATATTCTGACACACCCCCATAGGCAAAGTGGGGGAGAACAAGTGGTCACAAGACCAATCATGAAAAGCAAAGCAAGCTCAGGGTGGATCACAAAGTCACCACACAGTCCGAGCACAAGCAAAGGGCCACAAGGCCAGTTCACATGCGGAATAATATAAAAGAGAACAAACAATACAGTGATCATACCCTAGCAAGTGCAAGCATGCAGGTATGGATATAGATCACAGTACAAGCAAAGTCACGCAATGAGCAAGTGAGGCAAAGTAGGCACAAGGCCTAACACTGTAGAGAAGCGCTGATGATCACCAGGCGGAAGTGCCTTGGTGAATACATCAGCAGTGTTGGCCCTAGTGGCCACGTACGCAAGACGAAGCTGGCCACGCTGCTGCAACTCTCGAGCAAGGAAGTATCGCAGAGCAATGTGCTTCGTTCTGTGTTCCAGTCTGTGCTCTGACACAAGGCAATCATGGCCTTGTTGTCTACGTATAGAACTGGAGGCGAACGAGGCTGCTCTCCCAAGTCGGGCAGCAGGTAGGTGAGCCAGCGTAGCTCTTGTGCAGCCATGGCCCCTGCGTAGATCTCAGCCTCACAACTGGAGCTGAGAACTGAAGACGAGCGGGTAGACCGCCAGGAAACAGAGCCGGAGCTAAGGCTGAAGGTGTAACCCTGTGACGACCGCTGCGTAGCTGAGTCGTCAACCCAAGAAGCGTCTGCGTGACCAGTGAGGACAACTGGACCCCGTCCTCCAAACACGAGCCCCATGCCCGACGTATTGCACAAGTAACGCAGTAGCCTCTTCGCAGCATCCCAGTGCACCTTTCATTGCCTACCAGGAGCAGTGTAGCGAGCCAGAAGGCTGAGAGGGTACGCGAGGTCAGGTCGTGTGCACGTCATCAGGTACATGAGGCAACCCACAAGCTCTGGGTACGGACCACACGGCTTTACGGACTCGTCCGAAGGTGGAGCTGAGAGCGAGTGGCTGGTAGACAGAGGAGTGGGCTGTGGCGAGGAGAACTGGAAGCCGAAGCGCTGAAGGACCTGGTGCACCATGTGTGACTGAGTCAGTGTGATGGTGCGGCGTGCTCTGTCCCGGGTGATCTGCAAGCCAAGATAGCTGCGCAGTTCACCCAGGTCAGTGCAAGTGTGTCTCTTCTGCAGCTCCGACTTCACAAGGGTCAGTGCCTCAGTGTCAGCAGTGGCAAAGACCAGGTCGTCGACGTAGACAAGGACGTAGAACGGCGGCAGCGATGTGTCGGTGCGTAGAAACAGCGACGGGTCAGCAGTATAAGGAGCAAACCCAAGAGCCGCAAGTGTAGTCCTCGGTGTGTCGTGCCACTCGCGAGGCGCCTGGCGGAGACCGTAGAGTGGCCGCCGGAGGCTCCACTAGGTACCTGCAAGAAACGACCCAGTGAAGTCACGTAGGCGACGAAGCCATATCTCCTCGTGCAGGCTGCCCTGTAAGAAAGCTGTGATGAAGTCAAGAGAGTGCAACTCGTAGTCTCGCTGAGCAGCGACATGCAGCAACACCCGAAGAGTGGTCATCTTCGGGGTGGGGGAGAAGGTCTGGAAGTAGTTAACCCCCCGTCGCTGACTGAAGCCTCGAGCAACGTAACGTGCCTTGAAGGCAGGCGGAGAACCCGACGGCCGCTTCACCCTGAAAAACCACATGCCATCGACTATGTTCGCCCGAGACGGGGGAAATGAGTCAACGTAGGTGCCTGCGGACTTCCAGGATGCCATCTCGGCATCCATGGCTGCCTGCCACTGAGAGGAGTAAGGACCCGTAATCGCCTCTGCGTAAGAGCGCGGGGTCGGGATGTCTGGTGCATCCGGGTCTCCCTCAGGGACAAGCAGCATGGAAGCGAAACGAGGTACAGCAGCTGCAAGACACTCAAAGTCCTGCCTGTCCTCAAGGACGTTCGTGCCAAGAGCACACTCACCCCCGACGGACAGAGGACTGGCAGACTTAGACTCAGCAACAAGAGCAGTGGCGTAGTTAAGACGACAGGCAGCAGCAAAGTCAAGCAGCTCGGCAACGAGGGCAAACGCAGCAGTGGACTCAAAAGAAGGGTCAGTGACAACAGTAGCGAGGAGACGAGAGACAGTGGGACTGGCAGCACGCACAAGGTCAGACCTAGGGTCAAGGACGGCAGGAAGAGAGGACTCGGGAGGAGGCGGCAGAGGAACACGCAGTGGAACAGAGGAAGGACGAAGTGCCATAGCGTGCGTGCCAAGGACAGGAGGAGGACGCGAACAAGGAACGCGACGAGCAGTGCGAACAGGCGAGACAGGACGAGACGTAGGCTCACGACGCTCTGTAAGTCCGTCGGACTGCTCAGTGTAAGGAGAAGGAGCAAGTAGCGGGGAGGCTGGCTGCAACTGCAGCTGCGTCTGGTCAGGCGGTGGACACAGTAGGGGAGGAGTAAGGCTAGTAGAAGACGGGACACCAAGAACCTGCTGAAGCAGGGGAACGAAGTACGGTCGCGGCCGCACATTGCCTCCAGCACCAGTACCACCAGCACCCCCAGCTCGAGCACCTCCAGCTCCAGGGTCAACAGCTCCAGCTCCTCCAGCTCCAGCGCCTCCCGCGCCAGCTCCAGCTCCTCCAGCTCCAGCGCCTCCCGCGCCAGTGCCTCCAGCTCTAGCTTCACCAGCACCAGCGCCAATGCCTCCAGCTCCAGCGCCTCCGGTCCCAGCAACTCCATGCTCCGTAGGGTCTCCTGCTCTTGTGCCTCCAACACCACCAGTTCCGGCAGCTCCACTACCCCTGGTACGAGCACCTCCAGGACCAGCAGCCGCAGTACCTCCAGTAACACCAGCTCCAGCAGTAACTCCAGCACCTCCAGCTCCAGTGTCTCCAGTGGCTCCAGCTCCGGCAGCTCCACTGAGAAGGCGTGCGCGCCGAACAAGCCACTCACGCAGCTGCTGCGGGGACAGAGGCTCCGGTCGGGGAGACAGTCGCGGCGAAGCACCAGTAGGACCTCCAGACGAAGCAGCACCCCAAGACTCAGCACCCCCAGACTCCGCACCCTCAGGCTCAGCACCCTCAGGCTCCGCACCCCCAGGCTCAGCACCCCCAGACGCAGCACCTCGAGGAGCACCTGAGTCGCCAACTACCTCAACAGGCACAGTACCAGGGAGAGGGTCTACCTGAGACACACCTGAGGGAGCAGGACCCTGGGGCGGGAGGGGGTCTACCGGAGGGGGACCGGGAGCAAGGAAGAGCAGTGGGGGCAGGGGAGGGGCAGAGCGGTAGGGGAAGAGACGGTAAAAGGGAACCGACTCGTCAAACGTGACGTCCTTAGAGGGGAAGACACGGCGCGAGGTGGGGTGGTAAAACTGCCAGCCAAACGCGTCAGGGACAAAGCCAAGGAAGACGCAGGGGACAGCACGGGCGGAGAGCTTGTCCGCGGACGTATCGGGAACAAAGGCACGAGAGCCCCAGACCCGGAACA